CAGCCCCCTCCTCCTTCAGACCCAGGAGTCCTGACCCCCAGCCCCTCCTCCCTCAGACCCAGGAGTCCTGACCCCCAGCCTCTCCTCCTACCTCACCCAGGGGTCCCGACCCCCAGCCCTCTTCCCTTAGACCCAAGTGTCCCGACCCCCAGCCCCTCCTCCCTCAGACCCAGGAGTCCAATACCTGAGGGTTGAAAGGGTCGTCATCATCTGTATCATCATAGTCGTCACTGGGGTGCGAGGGGGGCAGTGGCAGAGAAACAGGACGGGGGAGCCATCAGGAGGCTGCACCCCCCAGCAGTACCCCACAGGCCCTGCCCCCTCCCGGCGCCCCCTCCTGACCTGGGCGGGAAGAGCGCCCAGGCTCGGGGCAGGCTGCAAAGCGCGGTGGCCAGCGCCCCCGCAGATAGCAGGGAGAAGAGCAGTAAGAAGAGTTGCCCCTCCAGGACGTCCTCGCACAGGCCTCGGAGGGCCACGCCGTAGTCCTGGGGGGCAGGGAGGGAGTCAGCAGGCCAGTCCCCCACCCATCCCACACCACGTGTGTTGTCCAGTATCACATGGAAGCCCGCTGTGTGATACTGGACAGATCACCCAAACTCTCTGAGTCTGTGTGTCTTCTGTCAAATGGCGTGAGAACTGGGCTGAAGTAACGCTGCCCTGTGGGGTTTTCTTGGCTGACATCTTTACAGGAAGAATTCTGACGGCACAGCTGCTAACTGTAAAGGTGGTGGTTTGAACTCACCAACTACTCCGAGGGAAAAAGATGAGACAGTTGGTTTCCATACAAATTGTTGTTACTGTTAAGTGCTGACTCATAGTGACCCTGGATAGGGTCCTACAGAGCTACTGAAGGGTATCACAATGCAAACCAAAAGGTCAGCAGTTCAAACCTACCAGCAGCTCCTCAGAAACCCTGTACAGACAGGGTTGCAGAGTCGGAATCGCCACATCAGGCCTCCACAAGGATTAAAGCTTTGGAAACCCTATGGGGCAATGGGAGGAGGGTCTGGCTTGGGTTGTATTGTGTGTTGTTAGGTGCCGACGAGTCAGTCTGGACTCATAGCAACCCTATGTATAACAGAATCAAACACTGCCCGGTCCTGGGCCAACCTCACAATTGTCATGCTTGTGTCCAATGTTATTGTTGTTATGTATCAATCCAGCTATTTTCTGTAACTCTCTACTTTCCCAGAGCCCTGGTGTGTGGCGCTGTAGGATAAGCACTGGACTCCTAACCCATCAGACACTCCTCATAAACCCTATTCAGGCTATCTATGAATTGGAACCCACTCAATGGCATTTAATGTTGTTGTTCGGTGCCATCGAGTCAGTACCACCTCAAAGCAAGCTTTTGCACAACAGAATGAAACAATTTATGCAGAACTGCTCCATCCTACGCCAGCATTGTAATGATTATTACGTTTGAGCCCATTCATTGTTGTTGCTGCTCTGTGGGTCTGTCTCATTGGGGGTCTTCCTCTTTTCCCAGACCCTCCACTTTACCAAACATGATGTCCTTCTCCAGGGACTGGTCCCTCCTGATAATATGTCCAAAGTCTGAGAGATGAAGTCTGGCCTTCCTGGCTTCTAAGGAGCACTCTGGCTGTACTTCTTCCAAAACAGATTGATTTGTTCTTCTGGCAGTCCATGGTACTTTCAATAATCTCCTCCAACACCATAATTCAAATACATCAATTCTTCTACAATTTTCCTCATTCATTGCCCAACTTTCACATGCATGTGAGGCTATTGGAAATACCATGGCTTGAATCAGGGCCACTTTAGTCCTCACACTGACATCTTTGCTCTCGAACACTTTAAAGAGGTCTTGTGCAGCAAATTAGCCTCATGCAATGCACCGCTTCATTTCTTGACTGCTGCCACCGTGAGTGTCAATAGTGTTGAAAGGTCACTGTTTTGAACGTACCAGTTACTTGGTGGGAGGAAGATGTGGCAGTCCGTTTCCATGAGGATTTGTTGTTGTTGTTAAGTGCCGTGGAGTCGGTTCCGACTCATAGCGACCCTGCACAGGGTTTCTGAGGCAGAGCCTTCAAAACCCAACTCTACCAAGTGTGATGTCCTTCCCAAGGGGCTGGTCCCTCCTGATGACATGACCAAAGCTCTCTAAGGAGCGAGTCTCAGAATCCATGCAGGTAAAATCCACAGGGGTAATCGTCCTCTGTTGTATAAAATCACTATGAATTACAATGAACTTGATGGCAATAGGTACCAACAGTCACGTTTGGTAAAGTAATAGCTGTCGTCAGTTCCAACTCAAAGGTACCCGGTGTACAACAGAACAACACACTACCTGGTCCTTCACTAGCCTCACAACTGTTGCTCTGCTTGAGCCCTTTGTTGTAACTGTGGAAGGTCTTCTGCCTGTTCAGTGACTCTCTACTGTACCAAGTAGGATGTTCTTCAGGAAACCGATCCCTTTGACAACATGTCCAAAGCACATGAGATGAAGTCTCGCCATCTTTGCTTCTCAGGAGCATTCTGGCTTTACTTCTTCCAAGACAGATTTATTCGTTTCTATGGCAGTCCATGGGATATTCAGTATTCAGTCAAGGCCATCATTCAAATGCATCAATTCTTCCATGCTCTTCCTAATTCATTGTCCAGCTTTCACATGTATACGTTGAAGCTGTTTAGGCTGTGGAGTCAGTTTGGACTCATAGTGACCAGTCCTGAGCAGGTAATCACTGTTACATTTGAGTCAATAGCTGCTGCTATGGGGCCAATCCATATGAGGCAAGTGAAAATACCATGGCTTGGGGTAGGTGCGACTTAGTCCTCAAAGGTCCCGTACCATCCCTGTGACTCGTCGTGGGTCAGACCTTTAAGATCCATAGGATTTTATCTGACTGATTTTTAGAAGCAGATCTCCAGGTCTTTCTTCCTAGTCTTTCTGGACACTTGACTGATAGGTAGAGGCCAGGATGAGATGCATTCACTAGGAATCAAACCCAGGAGGTCTCCAACATGGAAGGCAAAATGACTACCACTAAGCCATCATTGCCTCAGACATTCAATACAATTGTTAAGATTACCATCATTCCTGCAAATGAGCAGAACCACCATTTACTGTAACCCTGGTGTGGTGCTGTAGGATAAGCACTGGACTGCTAACCACAAGGTCGATGGTTCAAACCCACCAGCCGCTCGTCGGAAACCCTGTACAGGGTTGCTATGAGTTGGAACAGACTCAGTGGCACTTTACAACAGCCACTTACTGAAGGAGTCCTGCTGGTGCAGTGGGTTAGGCGTCGGGCTGCTAACCCGAAAGGTCAGTGGTTTGAACCCACCAGCCGATCCGTTAAGAAAGAGGATGAGACAGTCTGCTTCTGTAAAGCGTTCCAGTCTGGGGACCCTGTGGGTCCGTCCTTCTCTGTCCTGTACAGTCTCTGTGAATCAGAGTCCGTTTGATTTTTGGTTTTACCATTTACCCATATATCCCTGGATGGCACAGATGGTTCAACTGGTGACTTCAAACAGAAAGAATGGTGGCGGGTACCCACTCAGACGTGTCTTGGGGATCTACTAGTGAAAAATCAGCCACTGAAAACGCTATGGTGCACAGTCCCACTCTAACACCCACTGGGTCACCATGATTTAGAATCAACTTGAAAGTAACTGGTGGTTAGAAGTTTGGGGTGCAGTTTAACTCTGTCCTCTTAGGGGCACTCTGAGTTGATATTGACTTGAGTCTGGCTAGCGTGAACGGTCATTGTTCTCAGCTGCTGTGAGAGTTAAACTCGTGTGACAACTGGGCTGGATCTGGAGTCTCCACAGTAAAGACGACACAATTCCCCATGATGAGGATCTAATATAATATAATCACGTCCCCCCATCACGTAATCAGCCCTGATCTAATGATCCAATGTGTGTGCTGTAACGCCTCATTTCTATAATGCTAATAACTCGTCTGTCAGCCTGTCACACTCTGGGGCTTGTGTGTTGCTGTGAGGCTGGTGTTTTGAATACCAGCAGGGTCAAGCATCACTTCGATGCTTCAAGAGAGCTTTCAGACTAAGACAGACTAGGAAGAAGGAGAGGCAGACGGCTTCTGAATGCCACTGAAAACCTATGAATAGCAATGAAACATTGTCAGATAGAGTGCCAGAAAATGAAAACATTCAAACGTAACAACCATTGTGAGGATGGCACAGGACTGAGCAATATTTCGTTCTGTTGTGCAAAAGGTTGTTATGAGTCGCAGTGGACTCACCGGCACCTAACAACAACAACATGTTAATGAAACGAGATGCAATTTACAGGATTACGTTGTCTCATGAATCAATCTCTTCTGAGATATAAAAGAGATTAAACAAGCATGCAGAGCCAGAAGGGTCTACTACCACCAAGAAGGAAGAGTTGGTAGTGGAAGGCATCCTTAGGACCGGGAGCCCCTGCATTGTGAAGCCCCTAGAGCCAAAGAAATATTGATGCCAAGACACATGGGGATCTCCAAGGAATGCTGGGTCTTGTCTTCAGATATTGAAAGGAGACAAAGATCTTTCCCTTGGAGCCAGTGCTCCGAAATTTGACTTCAAGTCTCCTAAGCTGTGAAGTAATAAATTTGTTTGTTAGAGCCATCCACTTGTGATATTTCGGTTATAGCAGAACTAGAGAACAAAGACAGCTGGTAGCTGAAAGGTTAAGTCCATTCAAAGTTGCCTCCGAAGAAAGCCTTGATGATCTATTTCTGAAAAAGCAGCCGCCAAAAACCTTACAAAGTACAGTTCTACTCTGACACACATGGGGTCACCGTGAGTCACAATAGAGGTCTAGGGAAGAGGTGAGGAAGGAACGGAGGAGGCTGGAGATATCGCCAGGGCCCTTGTGCTTCAGGACACGGAGTAGGGACTTTAATCCATGCTCAGTGAGAACCATTGGAGGGTTTGAAGCAGAAGAAGAGCTGATTGGCTTGTGTTTTAAAAGGCTAGTGGGCTGTTTCGTGGAGGACAGGTGTCTTGCAGACACCTAGGCAGAGCTGAGGGTGGCCTAGTCTAGGGCAGTATTGAAGTGGTGCAGGTTCAAGTAGGTTTTAAGAGGAAGAGCCAACAGAACTCGTGGCTGGAATGCTTGTGGGAGGTAAGAGCTAAGAGCAAACAAAAAGGAGATTTCCATAACAATCAAGATGGAGCAAAGTAAAAAATGCCATAGATGCTCTGAGTTGCAAATACAGGACCTGTTGTAATGGCAAAATTTCCCCCAAAAAATGTTTTGATGTATATATTTTCACCACAATTTAAAAAAAATACATATTTCTATGTGTCTGACTTGGATAATTGGGTGGGAGCGGAGGTGTCTGTTACTTAGCCAGTGGATGCTGAGGGAGAAGGAGCCTCCGAGAGATATGAATGGTTAATGGACTGGGCTGCTAACTGAAAGGTTGGAGGTTTGAAACCACCCAGAGGCACCAAGGAAGAAAAACTTGATGATCTACTTCAGAAAAAAGCAGCTACTGAAAATCCTGTGGAGCACAGTTCGACTCTGACACTCTTGGGGCCGACAAGACTGGAACTCACGAGGGGGCATCTGGTTTGATTTCTTTGGTACGAAGGCTGAGGCTGAGTAGGTCAGGGAGATGGCCAGTTCTGTTCTGACTGCACCAGTCGCATGCATAGTTACTCTTTCATTCTCTGGACAGCCTTGCAGGGCCCCTCAGCCTGCCTTTTGCAGTGCCAGAAAGAATTGAGGCCCACGGAGGAGAAATCCAGAGTCACAAGGCCCGGAAGGGGCAGCGCTGGGACCGAAGCCCAAGTCCGCGAGGCCATTGGAAGGGGCAGTTGGGGAGGGGGCGGTTTTACCTTATGCAGGCCGTGGCAATGTAGCAGGGCCACCAACTGGTGGAAGTTTTCCTCTGTCACATTGAGTGTCTCCTCCAAAGACAACAGGGGCTTCTATGGTGGGAGGAGAGGTGGTTATTTCACCTGCAGCTCAGGACCCGCCCAACTCTGTAGAACCCTCCCACAACACAGCTGCCCGCCCCATTTCTCCAGCCCCGACCGTACCTCCAACAGCTGCCTCATTCCACAAGTCCCAACACTCCAAAAGTCCCGCCCACTCCTGACCCTACCCACACCTGCTTGACAGGCCCCACTCTTAGCCAAAGACCTTCCCTTCCCATTCGGTCAGCCCCGCCCACACCCAAAGGCCACGCCTCTGCAAGCTGATCAATCCCATTCCTCACGCCACACTCAAAAGGCCCCGCCCACACCACAAGCTCTGCCCACACTTGGCCGCCCCGCCCCATCCACGGCCCAGGCCCCGCCTACTCCTACCTGCATCCCGGCAGGCCCACCTGTGCAGACGGGAACTGAGGGATCGCTTCTCTCTCCAGACCCTGCAGCTGGGAGTGAATGTTGGCCAGCGCGCGCTGCGACAGAGTCAGCCTCTGGGGAAAGACGGAAGGAGAGAGAACACAGTAGTCCACGGCCCCAGCCCCTTCTCCTCCCAAACCCTGACACCATCCTCCTCCCTAGGGACCCTGAAGTCCAGTCCCCTTGCTCTTCCCTCATTCCTTTACAGAGTCCGAATCCCCTCAACACCCACCCGCCTAACCCCCAGCCCTAACCTGGTGAAAGGGATTGGAGACGGCTTGATTGCAGAGGAAGTAATAGTTCAGGATATCTGAAGGAAGATGGAAGAGGGGGATTGTGGGAGCCCGTACACCTGAGACCCCTCTAGGGAAGACAGGCAGGGGCTCCACTCTTCATCAATAGAACCCTTCTGGCATGGAAGACCTGCCAGCGCTCCCCATCCCCAAACCCCTCCAGCCCGCCCTGTCCCAGGCACACTGTCCCTAGAACGCAGGGTCCAACTTCTCCTTCTGCCATGTAGCCCTGAGTAAAACATGACCCCCGCATGTTCTCCACGCATGTCCAGCCCTGAAGACCCAGCTACACAGCCTTCGCTGACCCCCTCCTGTTGGGAAGAGGTGGCTGCTTGGGGTGGGGCAGGTCATCATTTATGACAGCGCCTCAATACCAGCCCACCCCAGGTAAGGCTGGGCACAGGAGACAACTGAGGAAACCAGGTGGGTCAGGATCACCTGAACTGAGCCCTGTCTCCTCTTGGGTCACGTTCAGGACGTAGGTGTCAGGATTAGAGCAGAAGTCACTGAGGCCCTGGGAGGTGTGGAGTGAAGGGTGGTGAGGGTAAGGAGGCCAGAGAGCTCAGCCCCCCATCTAGGCCCTGGGGACCCCGAGGTCCTGCCCCCCTGCCCCCTCCTCCCTCAGACTCAGAAGTCCTGACCCCCAGTCCCTCCTCCCTCAGATCTGGAAGTCCTGACCCCAGCCCCTCCTCCCTCAAACCCCAGAGTCTGGACCCGCAGCCCCCTCCTCCCTCAGACCCCAGAGTCCTGACCCCCAGCCCCTCCTCCCTCAGACCTGGGAGTCCTGACCCCCAGCCCCTCTTCCCTCAAACCCCAGAGTCCTGACCCCCAGATCCTCCTCCCTCAGACACAAGAGTTCGGGCCCCCCAGGATCCCCCCCACTCTCAGACTCAGGTGTCTGGGTCTTCCAGCAGCCCCCCTGAGCCTCAGAGCCCAGGAGCATGCCCCCTTCCCAGCACTCACCACTGCGGCAGCCGCCTCCAGACCCATAGAACCCCAGCTTAGGACCAGAACTACCAGACTCATAACAGTCATCCTACAGTGGGGGAGGGAGGACAGGGTGCGCTGAGTTATTAATCTGTATACCGCTTCCCCACCCCTAAACCCCATCACAGCCCCCCAACCTCTGGAACCTGGAGGATCAGAACTAGGGCCCGAGAAATGGGGGGAAGAGGGCTGTTGATATCAGACTTAACATCTGGTCCCTTCCCACAGAGGCCAGCAGGAAGCTGCCTGAAGGGCCCCAGGCTGCCATTTAGGCAGCCCTGCCCCTGCCTCACCCTGGGACTTTGGAGGGGTAACTGCCTGTAGCTGGGTCTCAGTCTCCCCATCTTTAAATTCTGCATGAATCCAATGTTTTCTCAAATCAAGATGGCCCCCAAAGGCTTGGTCAGCTCCCAGTTCAGCCCAGTCTCCTGCTCCAAGGCTGACACTCACCTCCTGGTTTCTCTTCACGAGTCCCTGAGTGGTACAAATGGTTAACACACTGGGATGCTAACTGGGTCCACTCAGAGGCCCCTCAGAAGAAAGCCCTGGCAACCAGCCACTGAAAACACCATGGAGGACAGTTCTACTCTGACATGCAGTTATCGCTCATCAGAGTCATTGCAAATGGCCACTGGTTTGGTTTTCGTCTTTTGGGTGGTCAATGAGGAAGAAGGGGTCTCAAGGGGTCCCATACTGAAGGTTTGCTTCCAATCCTACTGTGGTCATCTTTTACCATCTCTAGTGACTCCCATGGGTTCTAAGGTACCAACGATCATGAAGATGCCAAGGAATACCTGTGGCTACCAGCATCCAGGAGAAACAAAAATGTATCTTCCCCTAGAGTCTTCAGACAGCATTGCTCTGCAGGCATCTGAAATTTAGATATCTGGTCTCCAGAACATTGAGAGAATAAGTGTATGTTCCTATCAGTCACCCCAGTTTGCCAGTTTGTCATATTGTGGTGGCTTACATGTTGCTGGGATGCCGGAAGCTAAGCCACTGGTATTTCAAACACCAGCAGGGTCACCCATGGTGGACAGGTTTCAGCAAAGCTTCCAGATTAAGACAGACTAGGAAGAAAGACCTGGGTATATACTTCCAAACAATCTGCCAATGAAAACCTGATGGATCCCAATAGAATATTGCGTGATCCAGTGCGGGAAGAGGTGTCTCATGGTTAGAGAGCATTCAAAACTGCACAGAGAATGCAGGAGTGGGCACAGGGGGCACCTGAAGAAACCACATGGACTGGGATCAGTAAGCATACTAATGACCACGGGGAAAATGCAATGTTTTGTTCTGTGGTGCATGAGGTTAGAGCTGAGCCAACAGCTGTAACAACAACTTCCTTTGTGGGTGGTTGTGGCAAATGAAGGTGTTAACATGTGCAGCATTTAATAGAGGTCAGTGGTTATATTACAAGCATCGCTAGTGGTTTTCTACTATCAGAGTGTCTGCAGCCTGTTGCCTGTTTCCAGGTCGGCTTCCTCTCTGAGTCCAGCCCTTCTCCTCCAGACTGGAAATGCCATTGATATTTTTTGAACAACCACCACCACCACCACCAGTTGACACGGAAATGCCGACTCATGTCCATTAGTAGAACTGTGCGCCACAGTGTTTTCAAGGCTGATTTTTGTTGTTGTTGGAAATAGATCACCAAACTTCTGTTCCAAAGATCAACTCCAGCCTCCAACCTCCAGCCTTTTAGTAAGCAGCCCAGTGTGTTGATCGTTTGCTCCAACCAGAGATTTGGGGAGAACAAATGAGTGAACTCAGTAAGGACCAGGAGGGGTCGTGGTGGCTCCCATAAGAAAGTTGTGGGATTGCGTGAGATCTTGCAAGCCAGCGGAGGTGCTGGGGTCACCCCGAGCGCTGTGCTGACAGGGAGGGTGGACGGATCTGGGAAGGCGGCCCGGACTTACACGATCACCAGCCACTTGCTCTGCTTCGCCAAGCCCAGAAGGGTGAAGAGGCAGACCAGGAGCTCCAGGAGCAAGACGAGGACGTAGGCCAGCCACCTAGGGAGAGGCAACAAGTCTGAACCTCGGGCTCCACATAAGCTCTCGGAGAGGGTGTGTAACCTCCAAGGTCACGCCTCCAAGGTCTTGATTTTACCTAGCTTTGGACCGGAGTCTACACTCCGGCTCCGCCCATCTCAGGCCCCAAGCCCACGCCCTAACTTCTCACAGCTCAGCTCCCTAATCTACACCACAAATCCACCCAACCTCAGAACACAAGTTCTTTTCCCAGCTTTGCCCTGTCTCTATGATGCAGCTCCCTCATTGGTGGAATGGAGGCATTGGAAGGCAGGGCGCTTCACGGGTTTAGACATCAGGTTTGGGCTGGCGGCCCTGGGATCTGTCCCGACAAGACCATACACGGACTTTGTAAACGTGAACAAGCGATCTGGCCTCCCCGAGGCCCCGCCTTCCCATCCAGCCCCGCCCCCAGCCCCGCCCCCACTTCATTCTAAAAATCGGAGCTGTGTTATTCATTTCCACGGACTTGAGGAGGAGGGCACTTAACAACAAGGAGGATTCTGATACACAACTCAAGAGCTTGGTATCCGGAGGCAGAAACTGCCTGGGTTCCCAGCCCCGCTGCTCCGTAATTTTGGGTCAGAAACTTTACTCCTAGGCCTCGTTTTCCTCAGCTGTAACACTGTGAAAAGGATCGTACCTACTGCCAATGACTGCAGGGAGGCCAAAGACTGCACGTTACAGTGTCAGAAGTGCAGATTATGTGCTGTCCAGTCGGTTCTGACTCATAGCAACCCTGTATAGGGTTTCCAAGGAGCAGCTGGTGGGTTTGAACTACTAAGTTTATGGTTCACAGTCCAGTGCTGATCCACAGCACCAACCAAGTCCATTAATTATATGTTGCTGTTACGTGCCATTGAGCTAGTTCAGACCTATAGCGACTCCTAGTATAGGGTTTCCCAAGGAGCAGCTGGTGAGTTTGAACAGCTGACCTTGTGGTTCAAACCCACTTCGTGGTTCAAACAGACTTTGCAGTCCAGTGTATTGACCCACACAATCATATCGTTGTTGTTGTTGCTATGTGCCATTGAGTCGGTTCCGACCCATAGCAACCCTGTATGGGGTTTCCAAGGAGCAGCTGGTGAGCTTGAACCGCCTACCTTGCAGGGCAAACGGCTTTGCAGTCTGGTGCATTAACCCACAGCGCTACACCAGGGCTCTACACAATCATACAGGGTCACTGAAATATTTTGTTTAAATACTAATAGAGAAAATCAAAACATTATTTAATAATGAATAATCAACTACGTGAAACCTATGAGAGCTGGAACTCCGACAGGCCTGCCTTGTTTTTCCAGGTCTCACAAGTTTTCCGTCTTTGACAGGGTGCACTCTACCACTTTTACATCACTTGTTTCAGTGGAAAATAAGTAAAACCGGTGGGAGAAGGAACTGGATTAGACTGCATTGTTTTTCCAGGTCTCACAAGTTTTCTGCTCTTTATTGAGTAGAAAATATTCGTGTTTCGCTTCTATGTTGGTTTCCGCCTTACACAGCTTCCAGCTTTTGAAGGTTTGCTGGGATGAACTTACACTTACCCCAGGAGTCCTGAGGTGGTGCTGTAGGGAAGGCAGTGCACTGTTAACATAAGATCGGAGGTTCAAACCCACCAGCTGCTCCTCGGAAAACCTATACAGGGTCGCTGTGAGACAGAAGTGACTCAACGACACTAACCAAACCAACAACCTGACCCTGCCAGCTGCCATCCAGGACAGGGTAGGGAGAGCCGTAAGTCACCCGATGTTGTATGACCTCGAATCGATTCTGACTCATAACGACCCCATGTGACAGTATGGAATTGCCCCATAGGGTTTCTGAGGCTGTAATATTTATGGGAGGAGTCCTGGTGGTGCAGTGAGTTAAGCACTGGGCTGATGACCCTAAAGGTCAGCTTGTAACACAGAAGAAGGATGAGGCAACCTTTTTCCATAGAGATGTACAGTCTTGGAAACCCTAGAGCGCAGTTCTACTCTGTCTTGGTTGTTGGTGATGTGCTGTGGAGTCAGTTCCAACTCGTAGAGACTCTGTATAGGGTTTCCATGGAGTGACTGGTGAGCTTGAACCCCCAACCTGGTGGCTCAAATCAGCCTTGCAGTCCATGCATTAACCCACAGCACCACAAGCAGAAAGCTTCATCTTTCTCCCGCGAAGCGGCTGGTAGTTTCGAACATCTGACCTTGTGGTTGACAGCCCAACTCAGAACCCCCTACACAACCAGAGCTCCTTACTCTGTCTTACAGGATTGCTATGCAAAAGTCGGAATAGATTTAACAGTGGTGGGGGTTTTATTTTTAATCTTTATGGGAGCAGTTTGCCAGATCTTTTCTCTTGCTGCTGGCAGGGTTTGAACCACCAACTTTTCAGTTAGCAGTAAGGTGCTTAACCATTGAGGGAATCCTTAAAACCTGAATTTTGTTGTTGTTAAGTGCTGTTGAAATGGTTTCAACTCATAGTGACCCTGTATAGGGATTCTAAGGAGCAGCTGGTGAGCTTGAACTGCTGACCTTGCCGTTCAAATCAACGTTACAGTCCAGCACATTAACCCACAGTGCTACACCAGGACTCCTAAAACCTGAAGAAAACTGCTAAATCATTGCCATTGAGTAGATTCCAACTCACAGTGATTCTGTGAGACAGAATAGAATTGTTCCTGGGGTTCCCAAGATTGTAAATCCTTAGAGGACCAGATGGCCTCATCTGGTGGGTTTGAACCATCAACCACTTGACTGTTGTTGTTAAGTGCCACTGAGTCGGTTCTGACCCATAGCGACCCTGTATTGGGTTTCCGAGGAACAACTGGTGAGCTTGAACCACCAACCTTGTGGTTCAAACCAACTTTGTAGTCTGATGCATTAACCCACAGCGCCATACCAGGACTTCACCTGAGTAGGTACTTTTCATACAACCAAGAAAGAAATACGCAATGATTCTCATCCTGAGTTCCACAACTCTGTAACACGCAACCATTTTATAGACTGTACAGAACAGTGTAGAGTTAACAACCTGCACCGCACCTAGCCCAGAAGTCAGGTGGATTACAGCTCATACCGACCCCAAGTGATAGAGCAAAGCTGCCTCTAGGGTTTCCTCTACTGTCGATGTGATGGGAGCCAGTCAGCCGGTCTTTCTTCCCAGGACCCATGAGTGGGTTTGAACCACAGACCTTTCAGTTAGCAGACGAGGACATAACTGTTCCATTACCAGGGCTCCTTGGCTCACCTGTACTCCTCCACAAAGGACATGTCTTCGGCCACCTGCAGGGGACTCCAGGGCACTCCCTGCCAGAAGGCTAACCCCTGGAGTTGCTGGGCCACAGTCTCTGCCTGCCGCCGGGTTCCCCGGGCTGCAGCTACCAGCTCTGTGCGCTGCGTGAACACTTCCTCCAGCGTGGTCAGTTCGGTCCTCACTGCCTCGTCCAGTCTCTCTACCATCTCAAACACCTGGAGGGAGGGTGGGTCTGAGATCTGGGGAGGCCAATCTATGGGGACTCTGGGGTTTGGGGATGGAGTTGTAGTGTGATGTAAGAGTGGGTGTCGGTGTCTGAGGTCTAAGGTATAGGGTGGGTGGGTCTGAGCTCTATGGTGGGCCCTGGAGTTGGGGGGATGGGGTTGTGGGGGTGATGTAAGAGTGAGGTGAAATGGGTGTCTGAGATCTGAGATTGGGGTGAGTGGGTGTGAGGTCTGGGAAGGCCATTCTGTGTATGTGGACTCTGACATTGGGGGAGCAGGGGGTTGTGTAAGAGTGCTTGAGATCTGAGGTTTGGGATATCTGAGGACAGGAAGGTAGGGTTGGGAAGGGGTTTGAGGTCAAGTTCATGGAGTTCTGTGGCCTTTATCAGAAGCTTGAGCTCTGGGTGGTGATTCTTGTCTCTAAACTGGGATTAAGTCAGAGGTCCTCTGCCTTTCTGAGTCTGGGGCCTCAAGTGTGGGTTCCATGGTCCAGGGTTTGAATCTGGGGTTTGAGGTTGGGCCTGGTCTCACCATTGGGGTCTCAGGATTAGAGCTGAGGCTTCACGTCTGGGTCCTGAATCTCAGTATTGAGGTAATGTCCCTAAGTTTGTGTTTGGGGCAAGGATTAGGTCTGTGGCCCTAGAACTGATCTTAGGTCACAATCTGGGGTCTCCAGAGTTTGCTACTTGTCCAAGTTGAGGGGTGAGTCTCAGGTTGACATCCAGACCTGGAGGTGGGTATGAATTTGGGGTCCGGGTTTGAAAGCCCTAAATTCCAGATCTAGGTTAATTTTCTGTGGGTTCCACGTTGGAGTCCTTGATTTGTGGTTAGCAAGAGAGGCTGGACATGAGTCCTCAATGCAAGTCTGAGGTTGGGCCCCTAGGCCTGGGGTCCTAAATTTCCCTTCTGGTGTCTTTGCTCTGGTCTGAATCCTATTTCTCTAGGAGGGGCCTCACTGTCCTAGACTCGTGGGTCTTGGGGTGGGCATGAATCTGAGGTCTTTGTCAGGGTTGAGGTATGAGTCAGAGGTTGAAGGCCAGAGCCAGAATTGGGTATGATTTTGGGGTCTGGGTTGAGCCCTCAAGTTCCAGATCTGAGTTACAGTTCTGAGAACCCCATATCGGAGATACTTGATTTGCATTAGGGGTTCATTGGTGGGCTTACAGTCCCAAATGGAAGTCTGAACCTGAGGTTCTGGGTCCGGAGTCCTAAATTTCACATCTGAAACCCATTTCTCTTGGTTCTATGTAGGGCCCTGGGTGTTGGTATAGGAAACCAGTTCAGGTATGGGTCTGTCTGGAATCTGGCCAGCCCCGGGCCCCTCACCAGGTGGTCAATGGTGCTGAGCGTGTGGTTGGCATTCAGCAGTGCAGAGCTGAGCTGAGATACCCCATCACTGGTCTCGCTGTTGCCATAGAAACCGATGCCAATGCCGGCGCTGAGAGGAGGAAGGAGGAGAAATCTCAACCAGTCCCGGGACCCTGGAGGCCACCGCCCCCTCCTCATACACCCATCCTACCCGCTCCTCCCCGCCCCCCCGACTCCCACCCCATTGGTCCAGTCCATCGTGGGAAAGGAGCGTCTCCAGCCCCGATCCCACCGGTTGTCAAGGTAACAGGAAGGCCCCATCCCTCGGCTGGAGGGACGTCATTGTGATGCTAATGTAGGTGGAGTGGTGCCGGGGAGGCAGCCCCCTAATTTAACTCACACCTCACCAGAGCAGAACCCTTCCCAACGATGCCAGCCCCCCACCCATTCTCTCCATTCGCCTAGGAGTCCCAACGACCTCAGCACCTGTCCCTTAGGTATCAGTGATGGTGGAGGTACGCAAATCAGTGAGTGAATACGCCTCCCCCCCGTCACATGGGGACTTGTAGGATTGCAGACCCCCCCACTCAAGACTCGGAGCTCATCGCCTTCCCTACCCTCGGGAATTCAGCGTCTGGCCAGCTGGGAGGAAAGCAAGGGAATGTGGGAGGGAGAATGGCCAAGAAGCCGGTGCCCCCGCGCCACCCCACCCCAGTCAACACACAAGCTCCATTGTGGGGTCTGAATACGGGCCCCATGCCCCTCCTCCCCGTGCGTCCCGGGGGCGGAGGGGGTGAGTGCCGGACTGGGCGGAGGGAGATGGTCGCCCTCACAGTTCCCAGCCCTGGGTTACCCGTGGGAGCCCCCACCCCCGGCCCTAGATCTGACGCCAAACCCTAGCGCCCCCGCCCCATTGTTTAGAGTCCCACAAAGCTCTTCTTGTTCCCAGGCAGCGGGGGCTGGGGCCGTGTCTCTCCCCCACTGAGCCTTTGTCCACCACCCCCATCCACCCCCACTCATGAGATCCTGAAGAGAAAGCGTCTTGGATATAGGGCACCCAGCCCCCACCCACCCCCAAACTCAAACACTGTTTCTTCCAGCAATGTGGAAAGAAAGGCCCAGCCTAAGTTGGGGGAGGAGGGAGAGGGGACTAAGAGCTATAAGAACAACCACTTTGGTTCCTCGACTTGCTAGCTGCGGAGTTTGCAATCCTAGTCTGTGACCTGGGGGGTCCACATGTGAGGTGACTTGTACTCAGCTCAGGATCTTGCTAAATACGATGTTCTCAAGTCCTCTCTTTCTTGCTCCCCAACGGCATGTCAGAGAAGGTCCTAGGGTTCGCAATTACCAGCTGTTCAGAGGGAGAAAGATGAGGCTTTCTGCTCCCGTAAAGATTTACAGCCTTTGAAACCCTGTACAGGGTCGCTATGAGTCAGAACCTACTCCACGGCACATAACAACAACAATAACTTGGATCCCAATCGCCTTTCTTGCACTTTAGCCAAGAGGTCTTGAAACATCCCTTTCTCTCTCTCTCTCTCTCTGAGCTATCCTCCTCCTTCAAAAGTGGATGTGTCTTTCTGAGTCCATCAGGGTGGGTGTAAGGAGCAATAAAATGAGTTCAGGTTTGGGTCCACAGCAGATGCCCTTAGCATGTAAACACTCAACCATTGCCTATGCCCTTGTCTAGAATGTCAGCTCCATGAAAACCCATTACTCTTGAGTAGGTTCCAAATCATAGTGACTGTACTGGATACAACAACTGCCCCACAGGGTTTCTAAGGCTGTTATCTTTTGAAAACAGACTCCCATCTCTCTCTCCTGGGATCCGTTGATCTTTCGGTTAACATTCGAATGCTTAGCCAGTGTACCACTGGAGTTCTTTAGCTCCATGAAGGCAAAGACCTGGTTTGTTCAGTATCTCCCTGCACATAGTAGGTGCTTATGAAAGATTTGCTAGATGAATTCATAAGTGAGGAACCCCATGAGTTAACAGTTGCTGAGCTAAACTATGATCCAGGCCTGGGGAATTATCTCATTTAATCTTACCCGAACTGTGCGGTGGGTTTCACTGTAATGCCCATTTTATGGATGCACAAACTGAGAACTAGAGAAATTACATCACTCCACCTAGGTTCCAGAGCTGTTCAGTGATATAACCACCAAACCCAGGTAGACTGCCTGCCCACGCTTGGTTCTTAGCCTCCACACCCTCCTGTCAGGCTGGCTGCCCTTGGGATAGTCACCCCTTTGAACCTCAGTTTCTCCATCCATCAAATGGGAACAATGCTCCCAGCTTCAAAGCAGAAATGGGATTCTATGTTGGAAATGGATGTCTTCTCCTTCCTGTCTGCTCCCATACCCAGGGGGTCACCACCCAGAGGCTGGGGGAGAGACCAAACGAAGAGCCTTGTGCTCACTCACCACCCACCCCGGGGCCCCATTACCAGCCAATGAGAAGAGCCACTACACAACTCCAGGTAACACAGCCTCCCCCGGGCAGGGGGCTTTTGGCCCCAGGTGGCTCTGGGGGCCGGCAGCAGCAGAAGCGGATGAGGTAGACAGCGATGAAAATGAGGCTCAGGCCCAAGCCCAGGCCTGCCAAGGCTACCACCACCAGCAGGGCCTGGGGAAGAGGGTGAAATCAGATGTCCATGGGTACCTTCTGTCCCAGACTCAGAACTCCCTCCCAGCATAGTTGGGGCTCCTGGTCTAGGATTTCAGAACTGAGATGGCAGGAATCCCTGGTCAGACGAAGGACTCTACACCAACCCCAACATTCTGATGTTCAGGATGGTAGGGGCAAAGATGGGGTCTCAGGCCCTGCCCACACTGACAGCTGGGGCTCTGGGAGGAGGGAATGGGTCACTGGAGGGAGGTTTCAACAGGCATTTCTAGTTCTACTTCCTTCTAATGGCTGTGTGACCTTGGGCAGGGCCCTCTCCCTCTCTGAGCTTCAGTTTCCTACTTGTTGCTATCGTGTAGGTGGAGTGGAGCTTTTCTGAGGACCTGCTGAGGTTTCTGTGAACTGTGTGGGATCCAGAAATGGGTGAGGGTGTCTGCTCCAAGCACCCCTTGTCTTCCTCCTTCCTGTTTGTCCTGTCCACTCACTGTTCCCTCTCCCTGCATCCTGCTGAGCACCACAGGTCTAAGTCTGTCACCCTCACCCAGGAATCACTGGTGTGTGTATGTGAGAGAGAGAGAAAGAGTAAGAGATGGACACTAAAGGAGTGAAGACAGAAGCAAGTGGGAGAGGGGCTAGAGCAAGAGGGAGAGAAGGAAAAGGAGATGAAGAAAACAAAGAAGGAAGAGGAAGAAAAGAGAGAAAGAGAGGGAGGGAATAAGGGCGAGAAGAAGAGAGAGCAGATGAAAGAAGATGAGAAAGGAAGAAGAGAAAGGGAGAGAGAAGAAAGGGGAATAGAAAAGAGACTCTGCAGTGCATAAGTGAGTGTGTGTGCAGTGTCTATGTGAGTAAAGAGAAGGCGGGGAAGAAAAGGATGGAAAAGGAGGAGAGAGCTGGAGGAAACAGGCAGAAAAACACAGTAAAGGAAAGAGAGGGATGCAGAGCTGAAATAGAAAAAAAAAAAAAGACAAACCAACAAAGATGGGGTCAGAGAAGGAGATAACAGAGAGAGAGAGAGAGAGAGAGAGAGA